CTTGTTGAGTCTAACCCAAAGCAACACACTCATGAAATGGCCCTGAAATAGCATGTCTCTCATGGAACAATACGTAATTGTCTAAGGAATATGGGACAATCATTGTTCCTATCGTTTCTGGCACATAATGCTTGTGAACCATTTTTGGGCAGAATTGTCACTGTTGATGAAAAATGGATTCTCTATGCGAATATTAGATGCCAAAAACAATGGCTAAGTCCTAGATAAAAAACCACTTCCAACCCCAAAATCTGGACCCCATCCTCAGAAAGTGATACTTTGCATTTGGTGGGACATCAAGGGAGTAATTCATTTTGAACTCCTCAATCCACAGTGAACTGTAAATGCAGAGATCTATAGTCAACAACTGGAATGTTTAAATCAAGTTCTTCATCAGAAATACCCTTCACTTGTCAATCGGACAGGTGTTCTTCTTCTCCACGATAATGCACGTATGCATGTGACATGTTTGATGCAACACTAGATTATGGAGTTGGGTTGGGAAGTTCTCCTCCACCCACCATATTCTCCAGATATGACACCATCAGATTACCATCTTTTTCGCAACAAGTCAAACATGTGTACAAAAATTCTTTACACTATAGGATATCAGTTTTATCTAAAACTCTAAATAATTCTCTTTTCTTGTCAAAAGTCCACACAGGCTGATTCAATTACTTTCGAATCCAACTGACAGGACGAATTATTTTTCTCTACTCTTATCACAATAGTATCAGTGAATAATTTACTTACATTACCTCCCTGGGTTACCAGTTGTATCCTGAACCTTAAATAATTGTCTCCTTTTCATCAAAGTCCACACAGGCAGGTTCAATTACTTTAGAACACTTTTGACAAGACAACTTATTTCTCCTTATCTCTGTTAACTGTGAAACTCACTTTAAATATCACCCGTTATGGCTAAACTAACAATCACGCAGTCTAACTTCACTTTCACTAACCTAACCTTTTCTAACTTCCTTTTTTGATTACCACAGTTGTATCCAGAGCTTTACATAATTGTCTCTTTTTTTTGTCAAACATCCGCACAAGCTGATTCAGTTACTTTAGAACCCAACTGACAAGACAAATTATTTTTCCTATCTCTATTGTTACAATACAGTTGTGAAACACACTATAGAAATCACCCGTTAAGGCTAATCAGTCCCACGCTGACTAACTTCATTTTCATTCACTATCTAACTTTGTTCTATCTGAACTTCACTTACTTGCACTCACTTGGTCTCCTATATTTATACATTTTCCAACTGAGGCCTAGAACTTTCTACAGACTAGGAGATGCTATGATGTAACAATACTCACATAGTGAGAAAAACTTAAGAGGTTTTGAGAAAGATGACGTCAACAATACTACAACAATTGAACTACACACACAATGTACAACTCTTACTGAGTTACATAACAAAATTTGTTATAACTCTCGCCTTTAAAATAATTAACTTTAACACTCTTCTCATGAAAACTAAATAATCATTAACTATTAAATCACTAAATGAAGTAAATAATAACTCTTTTACTAAACAGTCTTGTATATCCAACAGATGAAGTTACAAGCTAGGTCAAATTATGAATTTAAATCCCATTATAAGTTTCTAGTAACAAATTAAATTTATGATAGCAAATGACTTAACTATTTTAATTGAAAGGTGACTTCTTTTTTTAAAATAGAAGAGCATTCCATACCAATGGTAACATCAGAAGAACTATGAGTTTCCAGAAACTTGTTGAGATAAGTCCAGACATCAGGCATCCAATCAATGATTTTGTTAAGAATTGGATTTTTTATACCTCTACAAACTTCTTCTTCAACAAGTTTTCTACGAAGATATCTTCCCAGAAATCTTTTCACTGGTTCCATATGATTGGCACACAAAACCCACCTAATAGAAGATGAAAACAAAACCTCATGAATTTTTGCATGTCCAGTACAAACCAGTCTTCATACTATCCAAAGTAGTAAAAGTGATAAATAAATATTTCTATACACATTAAAGTAACTCAAGGGATACAAGCTGAAAATAAAAACAATATCCAATGTTTTACTAAAATTGCTAAAATTGAGTAGAATAAAACTGCTTAACTTATGTTTCAAAAACTTGTTAATCAATATTGCAGTATTTAACAAAACTTTTAATAGTTTATATTTATAAAAATATTTTTTAGGTTATCTTTTTCAACAATATTTAAGAAAAAATTATTGAAATAGTTATTAACTCCAAAAGAATTGTCTATAGCATTAATCTAGCCACTGAAGAGTTCTTTACTGAAATTAACTAATAATAAGAATGTACTGACTGACTATTATTAGGATTTCACAAAGATATTTGTAAAACATTATTTACTTGCATACGCAAGAGACTGATCTTGAGGTTTGTTTGGCAATTGCCCGAGCCCAATTAATTAGGAGATGTAATTTTTATATTGCAAGACAAAAAGAAGAAATGGAAAGGGAATATGTTTGCTAGGGAGAAAATGGTTGAACTGGATTATTTCCTATCCCACAATGTGAAGGACATTGTAAAGACTGTCAGATAGCAGCCAAGAATCATTCTGAAAACTGCTTGTCTCAGATTAGTTGTGGATAATGAATGACTGGAAATATCTATGTGATCTGATGAGTTTACTATCACCCTTTTCTGTACTGGTAATAGAGTAAAAGGTATTTGAACCTGCTTTATCTTTCTAACAATGCAAGATGCAGTAGGTGGTGCAATTAATGTTCTTGTAGCAGGGATGGGTCCATTGCTCTTGTATTGTTTCCAACTTATCCAAAGAGCATAAAAATGGCTTCAGTAATCTTTCTTGGCTACCAGAATAACTAGTTCACAATCTAATTGAGCATTTTTGTAACAAACTTTAATAAAACATTTAACATTATAGGCCAAGTTCCTTGAAAAACAGGCTACAATTAAATAAGACACCTTGTAGTGTATGTGTCATCCATAGTTCAGGCTATTAATGTCACAAAAGTTGGTTCAACCCACCACTAGGTGGGAGTGTTAATAAATACCCATTCAGAGTAGTTTTTCTGTGTCTCACCTGAAGTTGTGGTGCAGCTGTAGGTTTGTAGTTGAACAGGTGGCTTGGTTCATTGTTCCAATAATATATGGACTGGAAAATAAAGAAATAATAATTTTTAACAAGATAAATTGGACGTTATTATTATGTTCAAACACATCCAAAAACATTCACACTCAATTGATAGCATGGAATTACATTTTGCTGGCACAGTTGACTTTTATCTCGTGCTAACATTTACTTAGAATGTTTTGCTTGGTTATTCACATGATGTTTCAGTACTTAAATAAAGGCTGGTCATTATTTACTGTTGCAATTTTCACCAGCTTATTAACTGCTGAACTAAATCTGAGGAACCACTGAAGGTTACACCTGCTATTAAAATGCACAAAATTTGGATAGGCACTCGATTATAAATTACTGCTAACAATGTTGAAATACACAACAGTGTATCAAAATATTCTCTTATAACCAATAAATTATAACTGTCTACTATGACCTTGATAATTTCTATCGGCTTTCTCCTCTGAAATTTCATCATTCTTACTAACAACATGTTAAATAATACACACCACTTACTGATGGTAGAGATCAATAAGTTATTTTAGCACCCAGATTATATTCAAGATATATCTGTGCATTAAGAAATGAAGTAATTGGCTTGAAGGTAACCACTACGTATGGTGAATAATTTAAAACTATATCATTATTTCTGAAAACACAGAAGTTAACATCATTAAATTATTTTTGTTTTATTAAAACATGTATAACATTTAATATGTTGAAATTTACCTAAATCATACTAGTTTTAAAATATATACGTAGAAATTATGTCCTGCCTCACAAGTATATATTTGATAGAAGACTCTCTGCTCTGAGTATACTGTTTATCATATCAGAGATAATACATAGGTTTAAAGTACAAACATTCAGTATTATGTGTATAAAATCTATCATTGTAATTAAAAATTAATAGTAAATGATTAGTCAACTAGGAATGATACACTAAAACCATTTTTAACTGATCATCCTGATCAAAAAATGAAGTAATATTCATAACAAGCATGAACTGCAAGAGATTTTTATATGCGACATAAAAAGCATGGATAACAAAGTGGAATTACACACCAGTTTTGATACTTGGCACTGAGAAAGCCATTAAAAACTTCATCCAATGAACCAACATGGTGAAGGTTGTCCAGGATTATCACAGTTGGAAGGTCTAAGCCATTACTAGAAAAATCAAAAAGCAAAGACAGTTATTACAAGATATAAACTATGTTTATTTAATGTTCTCTACTCTGATGTATGTGACAAATGATAAAATAATGGATACGAGTTTCTATGTGTATCTTATGATTATCTCAATTTTGAACATATAAGTGTTACTTACTAACAGAATAAAACCTTGCAAAGGTTCATATTTGGGACATATTGTTTTCACCCCCCCCTCCCCCCATAGGTATCTTATTGTTAATCATAACCTAAGATACTGAAACCGATTTTTATTAAACTTAATAGTTTTCTGCATTTCACTTTTCTCTCACCAATGATCTAAGGATACTGGACACTTACAGTTTATGCTTTTTTACGATGGCAAGATCCCTGTAAATTATCTTGTGTACAGTTCACTAGGATATGTGCAACTTGTTATAGTATTGACTTTCTCATTACGTGTGGGGTTTCTGGAGAGCTAGTCTTATTAACTCTGGCAATGATAGCAACAGTCCTACATGTGGTGGAATGCTGCTTAACTGGCTTTACATCTCCACTTGCTAATGTTATTTATCATGTTATAGATAGTCAACTACAAAATGGATGTGCCCCAAGTTTTGTACTTCTTTGTCATTTTGCTTCCCCTGAAATGGCTGAAACATAATCCTCCAACAATGAATCCACCCATGTATGTCAATTATAGCATTGAACTCTGTTAAATGGTCAAAAATTTCCTGTGAGCCAAATATATCACTCATGGTACCATGGTTCACATCTGTGGCAACACACTACTGCATTAGCATATGCAAATTGTTCTTATAGAGTTCAATTATCCTTCTTTATTGTTCTGTGAAGTTTTTATGTCAAAAACTACAAAAAAGAAAAAAAAAGCTTTTTTATGGGAAAACTTTGATTTAAATGCTGGACAAGTTTAACATAACAAGCCTCAATCAGATAATTGAGAAAAAATATGAAAATCCTGCAATAGCTAATTTTAGTAGTTCATGAGGATAAATTATACTTAACATTCTTACAATTTTAATGAGGAATATTTTTGCTAAATAGAGAACACTATAATTAGTTTTGCTTGCACTTGGTCTCATTTCTTATAATCCAATTGGCATACTTCCTATTTTTTCCTGGGTTAATTTTATTAAATTCTTTTTTGACATTGATAGTGTTTTTCAAATCCACTTCTAACAAACTGATGAAGTGTAAAGAAATAATTTTTCATTAACTAAAAACTGTCAATCAAAACAGATTATGTTTAGTTTTGTTATTCTAAAAGTTAATGATGTCATTGTTTTGATATATCCTGGTGATGTTTAAAATAGCTTTAGACATTACTTTGCAGCATTACTTAATGTCTCTGATTAAACTAAAAGCTATATATATATATATATATATGTACAGAAGTTTAGATCTTTAATATATCATCTAATAGTGATGGTATTGTTTGTTTAAAGTTAGATCAGATATGTATTAAAGCCACAAAAACCATAGAAACAACTCGTACAACAGATACATTCTCGGAAAATAACTTCCTGATGAAATAGATATTATTTCTAATTATGTAAATCAAATTCTGTGCTTTAAGCCTAAATCAGGTTTATATTTCTCAGCATCTATTTATTTATACAAACTTCTTATGTATTTAAGTTAAATTTCCATGAAAATCAACCTATTTGTGTAGTTTGGTATTTAAAATAGGCTTAAAAAATATTAACTTTTGGACTTATTTTTGCTAGACTAAAACTAAGATTTAAAAAATGCACTGCAAAATACAAAAAAGTTACAATATTCTATTTAATTGTTTGCAAATCTGTGATAAAAATTAGATTTATAAATTTTATACTGCTGTTCTGAATGCTTAGAGCTTTAAATTACACCTATTTCATGAATCCTTACCCATAATTAATTACCTTATTTGTAATAAGGAGTATACCAAAACTTCAGTAGAGTTGGGTATAGAAACGTTAAAGTATAGAAGGAAAGAGTAAATCATGCAAAAGTTTCAACTGTGACACCATTGTGTAGATAATATATTTGTTTGATTGTGTCATTCAAAAGTTGTTTTTATATTTCGGCAGTCGTTGCCATATTATTTAATATGTATTTCTAAGTGTTAAATAAGTTAACTAATTTTAGGATAATGGCTTATCTTGATACCACCATTGTAAATTCATGATAGACAGATAACTAACTGGTCAGTATGAAATTATAATTAAACTATAGAGCAATTTATCTTTAAATGCAAATTAATTTGACAAGGTTATTATTATGTGAAACATAAAACAAGGATATTATTATGTGAAATTTATAATGCACGTGAAATAATCATTCTATATGAAGAATTAGCACAAAGCTTTTATAAAGATCAAGGTTGATGTAATATTTTCTGTCAGAAATACTTTTTATTTATACTTAAATCAGTATCTCTTTTCAAGAATTATTAATAATTAACAATAGAAACTCAACGTATGGTGAAAAATTTAGAGGATCAGCTTGTATATTAGGATAATTAAATGATTTACTAGTGTCTGGTTAATTGGTTACAGAAATATTAGAATAGTTTTTCTCTCACCTGCTTTCACACTGTTCAGCTAGATTGGATAAATACTGTCGAAGCTCACTGGCTGACTTGTGATCCACGCTGAAAGTTGCTACAGCACCAGGACCCAAATCCTTGCCATTCCTATAAAGTGATAAAGTTAATTGTTCCATTTTTTTCAATCACTCTAATTGAATGTGGACTTAAACATATATTTATTTTGCAAAATTCAATCCTATTTTGTTAACTGAGTGACAGCTTTCTAAAATGTGGTGCTTAGCAGAGCATTGTAGTTGATGTGATAATATACATTATTATTTGAAACTCATCAGTCTTCATATCTATCATAAACAATGAGACTGTGAATGTTATATCATGATGATCCAAATCATAATCAATTCTGCATATTATCAAATATAACTGTTCTTACTATTCATTCATTAGTAATGTAACAATTCTAAAAATAAGTTTATTTTTCATTGAATTAAGCCATTATGTCAAAGTGTGCAATAGGCTTAGCTCTCAAATCTTTTATTACTATATATATATTTTTTTTCATACTTAAGAAACTGTACAAGAGAAAGTTATATTTACTCAAACAATGTATCAAAATAAATGTAAAATACTAGCAATTTAATTAGCTTCAGCATTTATTCACACTAGGTTTAAAGGAAGAATAATTTATGCAGAAATTAATACTGAAAAAGGAACATGTAAAACGTGCAAGTTATACACTTATAAAAAAAAAAGAATTTTAGTTTTATTCAACTGAGCACTAACCTAAATACAAGGAATTCAGCTAGTTTCTGTGCAAGATATGTCTTCCCTGTTCCACTAGGCCCACACAAAATGATTCTTCTATGTTCCAATAACAGAGAGACATATCGTTGGATAATTGATTTAGGAATGAGAGTTTCAAATGCTAAGGCATCAATGGAATTCTGTTTTGTACCTACAACATACAATGTACTTTAATGCCTAAGTTAAAATATTTCATCTTTGATGCCATGAGAGCATGCATTAGGAAGAGTCATGGCTCAATAGATATATCTTTGTTTTAAATTATTCACTCTCTTGAATAATAAATGATAATTTTATACCCTAGGACAATTACGTTTATGGTGCATTAGTGTGGATTCTCTGATAGGTTTCTTCTGACAGTACTATTTTTCAGAGCAATCATTATTATTATTATAGAGTATGATGTTACATTATAAATATTCCTGTATTTAATACTATTTGTAAGCAATATTACTCAAAATACTGAAGTAGTATAATAAATTGTATACAATTCATGAAAATTATGCATTTTCTTAGTCTAGTGTCATAATAAAAATTAAAAGTTTTCTTAAATTGGTAAATAAACATAGGTAAAGTATACATTTCTATTACCTTTTAAAGTAATGCGTATTTGCATGTTATCACCAATTAGATAACCACAAGGTAACAAGTCGGGAACATCTGCTTCTGGAACAGACAGATTAACAATGATATAAACTAAAAATGAAAAAGGTAGTTTTTAAATATTTACAATAAAAATCACACTAATCTTTGAATTTTTTTTTTACATTTCTCTTTATTAATTCATTACAAATTTCAATCAGAGATGTGTAAAAATAGCATATCAAATCTTTTATCTGCTATAATCACTGCTCTGCTGGAATAGACTTGACAGCAGTCTGTTTATCAAAATCTATCCAAAATTTTATTTATATGCAGCATAAAATATTTTATGTTACAGAGTTAAATGGTAGTGTATGGAGCTAACAAGCCTGAGATTTATCATAAAAATAATTTTACAGAGTATTTTATTCTACATTTTTTTTAATATGTCCATTACCAGCTTTTGGATTTAATACTTTAACATTATAAATAAATAACAATACCTTAACTATTTATCTTGTATTACATTAGGCATTGCACTACGTATTGTATATTGATTGGCTTTCTTGAAATAAAAATAATTCCACAAGTTAAATATAAAGAGTTTGAGAATGATTTTAATTTTTTTTCCCATTAATGTTTTTTGGTCAACAACTGAGATTCATTTTATGGTATTGTTAACATCAATATTTAATAAGAAATTTGTAATGACAGTAAGAATTTAAATTTTAGAATTTAGATTTACTTCTGTAGTGAATGGTACTTGAGGTATCAAAAGGCTGCACACTAAGTTATAACCACAATAACTGAGCAAATGCAGGACTTGGGTACCTAGTAAACAACAAATTAAAAAGTAAACAAAAAACCTACTATGCAAGTGATATGATTTAGGGATAATTAAGTACACAAGTGAAGTGAAAGATGCAAAGAAAGACTCAAATGTCATATTTAGTTCACAGGAACAACAACACAATATTTTTGTACACTGATTTATTTATTTGCACACTATTCCATACTTAGTCCTTCAGAGACCTTAATATAAACCACAAATAGCTTTGGTCACAGCTTTGAGTTGCTGAACCAATAAAAAGAAATAACCTGAAAATAGAACTCTAGCAGAAATGCAGACAGAATTTACCAAAATAGTCACTTATATACAATTTAGACATAGTACAACAATAGCACATGATACACACACTGTTCAATACATCTCACATCATAAAACAAAAGCAAAGGTAGTTGACATCTTTGTATCCCCAAGAAAGTGCCAGCCAATGACTAAAGAAGGTACAAACCCACAAGAACACAGAGCCAGCCTGAAACTAGCAAGAACTAGACAAGTGTAGCATTCCTAAAATTCAAAGTGGTTAAATAGTGGATTTCTTAAGACAACTAAAAACAAACAAACAAGTCTTGATATAAAAACAAAAGGTATAAAGAGGTTGGCCTAATATCATATCACTGGCATGCTGGACTTAGGCATAAAACTTACATTCATATAGTTCTAATAAACTTGTTCCATTTATTATCATACCTCTTGAACTCAGAAAATAAATTCTTAACCAACTCCCAATACACAAAAAACTATATACTAAATCCCACACTGGTTAATCTTTGTTTCTTTCAAGATAAATTTGATTGAGCAGCAAACAAGTTTTTATAAGCACATGAAGATGATGTATTGTGTGTATAACACACAAACCCTTTTGTTTCTCAACCTTGTAATAAATAACATTTTACCCACCAAAAGTCATTATATCAAGTATTTTCTTACAGATAAAAACGTTACCTTTTGCACGTACCACATTACCAATGTGGTAACTTAAAACACTTTCAGCATTTAGACCAAGATTGGTTACAGGATCTATTCTGAAGACATATTCCTAAGTAAAAGGAAGTGATTCATTACAATTTTAAAATTACTTTGTATAGTTCCTTAATTTAAAAAAGTTTAAATGTTTAAATTTCTTCTATTAATTTAAATACATTAAAATATAGCATTGATAAATAATAGTAATTTTAGCCACAATAAAAGAAATCATGAGTAATAAAAATGGAAGACATATCAAGCAAACTAAATACTAGTTCACCTTATTTAGTCAAAAGTAATAAAAAAAATTCAGAATTGAAGCAGAGAGATAGAACTTTCAATACTACAGTTTATCAATTAGAATTTTCACAACTACAGTTTCTCAACTACAAACATTCAAAGTTTAGAAATTCACCATTATTTTCATATTATTTCTTTTGGGATCCATATTAAAAAATGTTTTACTTTCAGTAATTCCAGATATACACACATACACAGAGGTGAAAATCTAAAAAAAAAGTAGAGGTACTCAACTGGGTGAAGTGGACCAGTTTTTGAAAAAGAAAAACTCTACATGTAAACATAAAAAATGACAAAGCAGCTCAAGTTTCACACACCCACACATACATACATAGTATATAAAGAATTATGAAAATACAGGGTGATAAATACAGGATTCATTAACAATGTATAATTACAACTAAATGGTAAATTTATCATTAGCACTTTATATTTTTAATACATTATTTTAGAAAATACAAAATAATATGAACTTGTATTTCATACTTATAGCAAAGATATTAGGGATATCTGCCACTGTTCATAATTTTGAACCACTGACCAGAGTGAAGGCAGCCAGTCAGTGACACTGTACCAAACATCCACACTAGGGGGAATTGACTGTTATTTTTATTATGTACCCATTTTAAAGTGAGAGGGAATACTCTATAGTATTAAATAGATTAATACAAAAGAAAAGTGAATAAATTGTTCCTTGCACTAGTATTTGTATTTGATTTAAGCACTGCTACACATCTTGTTTTTATGTTACCATAAGTTATCATTGTATGATTATGAATTATTGTTTTAAATGTCCTGTATTACTCCTCACAATTCAGCCAAATTATTTAGTTACTGTTTGGCCTTCTTAGTTTCCAAATAAACTCTAACAGCTATAATAATATTCAATATTAGGTATTTGTGCAGGTCAAACCAAGGTTGAATGTTCAGCTGGCCCATTTTTTTCCCAAATATAGTTTCATCACACTTGCCATATGCTTAAGATCATGTCTTTCTGGAAATGAATCCATGCCCAACAAGTCTGTCTTGTTCCTGAATGAATATAATGATAGATAAAACCTATTTGTACCTTTTATCAGTCCGGGTGGTGTCATTTTTGTGTAAATCTCCACCATTGGCTAAGATTCAGCCTATATTTGTATTGGTCCCCTAGCATGCTTCACTGTGGATGTTGTACATTGACTGAGATAACATTCTCCACTCTGCCATTAAACAATTTGTTGTTATTTATTTTTAAATGATTTGACTTTATAATAAGATGTAAAGTGCACCTTCCTTTACCTTTGCTTTTCCATTGTTTAAAGTATGATTCACATTTCTGTCTTTTTAGTTTGGTTCTCTCTCCCAAGCTGTGGTTTTTGACAAGATACACATCCAGTGAGACCACTATGTGCTAATGTACTTCTGGAGGTAACATTCACACCTGTACTTACAACTAGACAAGGCTCTACTGTTTGTCATGTATGACATAAAGAACACACTCTGAGTTACTTAAAATCATGAACTTTTGAAGAGTTTGGGCTTTTTACCTCAACCACTTCTATTATCCACAGTAACAGTTTCACATACCCACTTCAAGGTTTCCAAACAGCTTCTACTGCAACAGGAAATTTAACATCACTCTGTTCTAAGGAGCCAAAACTTACAGATTTGAATAGAGGGGAGCAATCCACATATTTGTATTTTATACCAATTTTGCTCACTTTTTCTATAATTATTTACAATATTATAAAAACATCCACATTGTTTACCACTATGATCAAACCAAACGTTTTCTACTAAAGCTATAGAGTAAATAATGTGGAAAACAATGCTTGTGCTTAAAGCTATGCTAATTATGCCAAATTAAATTTATTTCAGTAAAGAATACTGATTAACTTTATCTGTGAATGTAGACAAAGTATTAATAGAGATTTTGGGGATTCCTACCTTGAATGCTTTTTTTACTACATTGTCCAGTAAGTCCCATTTAGTTTTAGCATCAACAGAAACTGATCCTATAAGCATTTCTTGGGGTGGCTAAAAAACAAAATTTTATGTATTTTATTCATTAATTTGTTGTCTGATCTCATTCCTTATGTTACCATGGATGTATAAATATGAAAAAAGTAAAAACTTGAAAGAAAATATGTTAATTTTGCTTTTATATATATATATATATATACATTAGTACATCTTTATTTACACATACATTTCAATTTCTTATTTTTTCATAGTGCATTTACGAACATGATTCCAACATACATCTTTCATACTTTCATATCATCTGTTGAGAAATTATTAGAGCAAACCATATGTTACTCAGCTTTTTTATTGCTTTGCTTATTAACCTAGGCTGGATTTATTTTTTCTATATAATTTAAACATCCTCACTACTGCACTTCTGATCCAACTAGTAACAATAAAAATTGTATTATGGTAATTACTGTTACAACAGCGGAAGTTGCGCGACGCTGGGAGCATGTGCTGTAGTTCTAGAAAGATCGAGGAACCTGTTGAATGTCCTAGCATTTGCTAGATGTGTGCTCTTATTGTATATAAGCCGGGCAAATAAAACGAGAGGATCAATCGGAACTGGAGTAGCAGTTAGAGAGATTGAAGATAATAGACACAGTTAATCGAGTCAAGTGAGCGGTTGTGACCCTAAGTAAGTGCGTGAATCATTGTGAATTATAGCGTGTGTTTAAGTTAAAGTGACTGTGGAAATTAAGTGTATTGCAAAGTTGAATTGAGAAAGAATAAACTAGTTTTATTTAAGAAAGGACTTGTATCGCTGAAGTTTCTCGGAAAAAATTTCTAAGGAACATTAACAAACAAACACAGACGTAACATTATCACAGACATCTGACAGTCTACTGAAAGTATTTCTACAACTAATAATACAGGACTTAAAGATTTTAATGCTGAACAGCAATTCAAGTAAAAGTATTAATACAGTGATTTTAAAAAAGAAGTGTACCAAGATTTTTAATTAAATATTAAACCATTTTAAAACAGATTAAGTATATTTAACATTAAAAAGATGTATGGCAAGTTTAACATTATTTTATAGATTTTACCTCATTTTGTGTTGTTACTTTCTTATAATCTCCATGGCAACAAAGATAGGCTGAGATGATGACTCTATTCCCATCTTCATCTGTAGTTGCATAATTGAGGTATGTAGCCAAGATTATATAAATAGAAAATATATGTGAAAAGGTAGATATAAGAAGCAATATTATTCAACTGTTGAGAACTGATGTTCAATATAATAATATAGAATCCTATACAACTCCATACTGTCTAGCATTAACCTAAAAACAGCCATTATTTATAAGACATTAAGTGAGCCTGGTTTAACCATGAAGAACTTTTTAACAGGATAGAACTTAAGTCACAAGAATTTAACACTCATTGATTCCTCTTTGAATAGTTCTCTAAAACAACTTTCACGAGATTACTAATTTGTTCTTTTCCAATGCTTCAAGAACTTATTTTAAATTTATTTAATACAAGTGAAATACTTTGCTTCTAGACATCATCAGTTATAATACTCCTCTCCCACCATAATTGCTTGCAAGAAGATTTCTGTTTTTCTTCCTTTCTACTTCTTACCAACATTAGGAGGACCTGAGTGTTCTGAGGCACTTAGATTTTTCTCCAAATTCTCCATACTATTCCTGGCAGGTAGTGAATTATTGGAGGAGTTTAAAGATTTACTGGACACAATTTGTTGCAGTCGTTCATTATCTTGTTTGAGGTTCATTATTTCAGCCTGAAATCATTGTAGTATATGTTACTTTACAATTAGAAAAAAAGCAAAATCAAAGTGTCTAGACTCGTTTAATACATAAACACAGTTATTTCATTGTTCAAAGTTAAAACTGAAGTTAAGATCTATTAAAATAATGCAATGAAAAATATAACAATGACTATGTTTGCGATTGATAAATTTAGAATGCGCACAAGGTTACTGACATAATCTTGAAAAAGATGGGTATATCTCTGCTAAAGCAAGTTGTCCTTTTGTATTGCAATATAATGTTCCAACAAATATCTGAGATTATCTAAGTTGTATAAAAATATAAAGTTTAAATAAATTTAAGTAACAATAAAAATTTTGGTAAAAATAGAAACAGTCTTACACCTAAAAGCATTATCAAGAAGATTTTTTCAATCTCACTAGCATTTTAATGTATTTGGTGTAAAAAGTATTTAGTAAATATACTGCATTTTCAATAACAAAACTGAAACACAATTAGACACTGTTTTCAAATGTTTAGCATTTTAAATTGCAATCAGATTATAGCAATTTACAAGTATATAAAGAGCTGTTTAAACTTCTCCATTGCTGTATCTTTAAAAATAGTAGTTTGTCTCAGCTATTAAAGTTCTTTAACATAATACTTTTATAACAGTTTTTCTTAATAATACAGACAAAAGAATCAAGCTAAAATCTCCATTAAAATTTTTTTGACAAGAGCATCATATCATAGCATGTTTAGTAAACCATAAAAATATGATTCTGTTTTTCCAACATTATGACTACGTGACTTATAATGAAATTTTATCACCTTCATTTTATTCACAGTATCTTTCAAGCTCTCTAGCTGATGAGCTGATGTGAGAGCTTCAAGACGGATATCTGTGAGGGCCATGTCTTTCTCTCGCAATTGCTTCTTTAGGTCTTTCACAAGGTCTGGCACATGGTCATCTTCTTTTTCACAAAGACTGAAAAGCAAGCATATTTATATTTTGTATGTATATATATATATATATATATATATATAGTAGAGAGAGAGAGAGAGAAACTTACTGTCCTGTAGAAACATTCCATATGTACAAATCTCAACAATTAATTAAATAATCATGTCATAAATTTGAATTTGGAGTGATGGTCAAATCCTACTATTTGATTATTCTATCTAGCGTAACAGCTCAAAATTAGGGGCAGCTACTGCAGATAACAAGTGACTAAAATGGACTAAAGCAAAGGTGAACTCTAGGTGCTATCAGGAAAACATAGTAAACGTAATTGTGTTGGATGATATTCCTGTGCTATGTGGGCAGTATGCCACGAAAGTATGACTGCATCAGGGTAAAACATCAAGTGACAGTACATACAACTTGACAACCATGTTTCTACAAGCCATGGAAAATGAAATCTGTTGTTGTTATCCTTTTCTCCAACATACCTGTGAAGTCACTTGACTCCAAACTTTGGACTTGTGTGTATCTGATCTGCTTAAACTTTGTTTTGGAAGTTGAAATATGGTGGAACATCTGTGGAAAGTTTATCAAGATGTCTAATCTAAAATTGATTTTGCCGTTTGTGATATAAATGCATGTTCATAGACATCAGATTCAGATTGGCTATGAGTGATGATGGAAGAAGTAGTTCCAAGGACAGCACAGAACTTGGAATAACATTCAAATAATATGTTATTAACTCTCCTCATAATTATAGCAAACAAACAAGAGGGAATCCTTAATACCCGCACACTTCAAATTCTTTGAGGCAAAATTAGAGTAAATTAATCTAAGAGACCTTTGTTTCCCTTTTTATTAGCTATATTTTTGTGCGCCATCAATATAAAGTGTGGTGCGCGTGTATACCCGACTCGAATATATTACTCTTCAGGATCTCTACCAGTATATCCTCAAACTAAAATTATATTATGATGGATTAGAATAAATTAATCTGGGACCTTGGACGTGGTCAAATACACCAATCGAAAGGGTTTGACCTTCCGAGTCGAAAACTGTTTTTAGATCTCAAATCGATGAAGACATGACGGAGCTATGAGATAAAAGTTTGTACTTGAAAAAAAAAAATCCCTCAGGGCCGTTTTATGGACAGCTCATCCACGGCTAAAACCACTTTGGAAATGATACTGGGTTACTGTTACGTATCTGCTTGTTTGCTTGTTTCTGGTAGAAATTCTTTCCGAGGATCTTCAGCGATACAAGTCCTTTCTTGATTAATCCAGTTTATTCTTCCTTGATACAAACTTTGAGTACACAGTAATTCCACAATCAGTACGTTTCTCGTCACTTTAAACTTAACAACTTTTATAATACACGCTATAAAACACAGCGATTCTCAATCTCGATAATTTTGCTCTGCAAAACACACACTTTATCCCCCCCCCCTACCCGTTGGCTTTCCCTGCCAGGCTTATATACTAATGAAGAGGGCATCCCGAACACACTCGGACTTCCCCGATCATTTGAGAAACTCATCACGCACGTCACGTGACTTCCGCTGTCGTAACATTACTTTTACCAGAAATGAATCATTAATAAAGGCTGTAATGTAAATAATGCTTTTTACTTTTGTTAATTATGGAGAAAAACATCTCAAGCCAATGAAACTGAAATATTAAAGCTACATTTTGTGTAAGTTAAATAATAATTTACCACTTTCAAATCTAATAAACTCGGCATGTCTAAAATGGTTTCTTCACCAAAACTAGAAATATATTGGTTGAAACTAGGAATTTTTTTTATACTTTGTGACCTCTTATTAAATACAGTTTCAAACATGATCAGTCTTTGTCAATCTTACTAGGTCAGTGATAAGAAAAATTTCCTGATCATCTTTTGTAACCCTTACTAGAAGGTGGTATCTAAAGGAGCTAAATAAAGTTATGAATGGGGAACTTGACTCTTTACACACACACACACACACACGCAACATATACTCACCTAAGATATATTTTTTACTAAAGAAAAGTTTTCAAGGCTTAAGTTGTCAGTATCTCTATAATTCACAAATATAAATTAAATTGTATAAATTAAGACAATAGACAAATCGATACCTAAGCCAATAGTAGGATATAAGCTAAAATTGCAGTTTTGAGTAGCTACAGTTCTGCCAAACAAAGAACATATGCTATATAATGACTGAAATAGTCATGAATTTCTCCCTTCCATAACTGGCTTAGAATAAATCTTTAGACAGATATGTTCAGGTTAATGTTTCTAAAGTTTCATGCTGATATTCTGCATGTAGTATGACATTCTTGTTAAATGAATTTTGATAACTTGTATGTGCCAGTGGCTAGAAACTCGTATCACTTTGGCTCTCTGATTGACGATCCTGGGAAGGGGCAAGCCAATCTCAAGGGTTGTCACAAATCATTGTACAATTTAATACGAGTTGGGGCAGCATTTCCTAAACTTTTGTCATCCATACCCCCCCCCCCTGATAAATATGGTATATTGCACACACACCTCTTTTCTTTTTTAAATGAATGAAAGGTTGGTTTTGTTTTTCAAATTCGTGCAAAGCTACACAAAGGCTGTTTGCACAAGCCGTCCCTAATTTAGCAGTGATAGACTAGAGGGACGGCAGCTAGTCAATACCACCTGCTGCCAACTTTTGGGCTATTCTTTTACCAAGGAATAATGGGATTGACCGTCACTTTATAACACTCCTGTGGCTGAAAGGACAAGCATGTTTGGTGTGATGGGGATATGAACTCGCGACCCGCAGATTGCGAGTCAAGCTCCCTAATACCAGGTCACGCAAGGCCCATAATACAAAGATACACATTAAAATACTATTACTTATTATTATTTTCAATAATAAAAAAATATATTAAAAGCTTAATTTTGCAAGAATGTGACAAGGTCTAGGAGAGGTCTAGGTCTTATAGATTCAGAGCAATGGTGAGAGCTGTGTTCACATTCTTGCTTTAGCCTCTCAACCAAGAGTTTGATAAACAATTAGAGAACACTCAGACTGCTGTTACGTGACTCTTGTTTGTTTGTTTGTTTGTAATTAAGTACAAAGCTATGTGCAATGGGCTATCTGTGCTCTGCCCATCACAGGTATCGAAACCCGGTTTCTATCATTATAAGTCCGCAGACATACCGCTGTGCCACTGGGAGCGATAATAGTGTGAATGGAAGATAATATTTATGTTTTCATAGTGCATAGTATCATGTATTTGTTAAAATAACTAATAAATAAGACATGCATACGACACTTGCAACAAAAAAACAACAACTTATAGTAAAGCAAAACCAACATTTGCGAAGAAGGGAGTTTCAGGTAATACTCACTTTGCAGAAGAATGAAAAGAATTCACCAAAGATTTATTCAGAGGATGAGGTCCAAGTAAAGGCGAGTTTGGAGTAGATGAGTCATACTGGAAATGTTTCAAGTCCTCCACATCTGATACTGAGCCATTTTTATTTTTTTTACTACGAGAGAATGCCTTGCTGAACGAATCACGCAACTATAACAGAAGAAGAAATTCATCTTCTTTTGCTTACATAACTTAATATGTTTTCGCAACATTTTGAAAAATATTAGATGTGCTATAAATATGATACTTTATTCTCTGGATGAGCGCGTTATAATAAAACGATTTTGAATATTCAAATCAGCAAATTACATGAAAACCACAGCCAACGTAAAGTCGCGGTAGAACGGAATGTATCAGAACTACATTTTGGCATTTCGTAGGTAGAGTTATGCCACCTGAAACTGGTCGCTCTTGGGAAGTGTACGAATCAGTTTTTTCCGATGCAAAATATTCCTACGTTTATATCATAGATTTATTCCGATCAAGGATTTAGAATTTCCAATATGAGAAATTTTTTTGTTCTGAATGACATTGGAAGGCAAAGGAATGTGGATCAAATTAGGGCATCAGGATCATCCAGAAAAAAATCTGCAACAAAGTCGTATCCCAGCCGTATTAAGCAAAATGCGATATCTTTTAACAGGTGAAACTCCACGAACATAAAAGTTAGTGACAAAAGTCATCTATGTGCTCTGGGCAACAGTACGCAACATAATAAAGAAAAAATCTCCATCTGCAAATGGTCCAAAGGCTGCTCCCTTAACATATTAATTCAGTTGTCACAATTGGAGAACGAAATGGGTATTCATGTAACTCGCATGAATGCATAACGGTCAAGTTACCAAACAGTGCCTATAGATTTCTGTGCAATCAAACTGTTGTAAGGTGTGCTGGAAAACCATCGTCCATGTACACTAGACGAAAACATGCACAGAGTAGCGGTGTGTTGTTCACATGATTGCCTTATTATGGAGCTTTTCCAATGGAAACTACGCTGCATCAATATTCTCAAGATGCATAGTTGTCAGATAAGATACGACCACACGTGACGACATGAACTGTAACGAAGTGGCGAGGCTCCAAAATCGTTTTAATATAATGTATTCAAAATCTAAAGAACGTATTACTGTGAGATAAAAAAAAACTGTTTAGCGTAGTAACAACCAACTTTATATTAAGGCTTTAAAATAAACTTTAATGAGATCAAGATATGTTTACCTTAATGATTTAGAAGTTACAAAAATTTTCACTAACAACAAATATTGCAACAAAGAATATAATGGTACCTTAATTTTAAACTTTTCAATACAAAGATAAATCTGAAGTGAATTTCATTTCATAATTACCAAATGATCTTATCTGCTATTTAAAACTCCGCATGCAATTACATTGCAAAAAGCATGTCCTGATAAAAACTTACCCATCCTTTCTTCTTCTTTCCTTTACTACTAGCATTATCGTATCTTACAGAAGGATTGCTACAGGTGCTGGACTGAGAGTTTACACTAGAGACAGAATCTGTCGAAAATTGTCTGGACATTTTACCTTTCATGGCTGAAATCAGAGAAGTTGATGGTAAATCCGTGCCCACAACATCAAGGTAGCTCCAACTATAATTCTTAACCAGCTCAGTAAAAAACAGGCTTAAAAACAGACCTCTTTAACAAACTGTACTGTATATAAAATTCTCCCAAGTCATATACTACAAGTATTAAAAGAAACAAAAAGGGAGATGTAGAGATGACAATGCCCCCACCCCGAAAAAAAAGGATAGGGATGAATACATAAAATCATACAAATATCCCTACATACGTAGTCAAATATTTCCAATAAATTGTTTTTATCTACATCTAAATGTTGACTTCCTTTCATTTGCATGAATTAAGGTTTGAGTAAAAGCATTTAAACTGAATAATGCTATAAAATCTTACAATGGCTAATTCCTATAAGTTTGTAACATTGACTCAGAAACTACTTATGTAGGGATTTTTTTATATGGGTTTGTATATTCATCCCTACCTTGTTTCTGCACTTTTTGGCATTGCCATCACTACATCATCCTTATTTTTCTATTTTTTTGTTTGTTTTCCTTCTATTTGTTAAACAGTACCAATGAATATCGCTAAGTACGGCAGTGCTTAGTATTTAGGGATGGGCCGGGAAAAAAATGGCCGTCGCATATTATGTATTAATCATCATAGTCTCAAATCTCTTTATAACAATGTAAGAGACTTTTATAAACACCTAACTTAGGTTTTCGAGGTTTTCAAAAGGTAATAAGACCTTCAGTTTAGCCAAAAAACATCGTTAAAGTAGAGAACCAGCGAGTAGTGTAACAGTCAAATGTTCGGCTGATTATTCTGATTCTGGCAGCGGAAGGGCTAGCTCAACAATGGTTAAAGTTGTTGCGATGATTTACACACCAAAATGTTGCATTTTAACTTGGGGAGTGCAGAAGCAGTATAGCGTTTCATTAACTTCGGCACATGACAACATCGTTATGCCAGGCTAAAACTGCTGCCTTCGTAGCAGCTGCCATTCATTATAAAACAAATAATAAATAAATGAAAAAATAGAAAAACACAAGGATGATATAGGAATGACAAAGTTAAAAAGTGCAGAAACAAGGTAGAGATGAATATACAAACTCATATAAAAATCGCTATATAAATTCACCTTATTGAACAGTGGAAAGACTCGACAAAGCAATTAATAATAATTTATGTTTTTCTATAGAATCAGTGTATATCGTTCATCTTATTCAGCTTGGATGTAGGCCATGTTTTTTAGTTTAGACTTTAACATTGTTATTTCACCAGAGAGAGGTTTGACGTCACGTGACTAGCGTATGGCCAAATGACTAAATTTTGAAAGTTCAGGAAACGATTTTAGCAGTATAGAAACACGAGTTAAGCTTGATTAAAGAATGATTGATTATTAAGTTCAAGAGTGTGTTATAACTGGTTTCTGTTACTATCAGACAGCTAGTAAGATAGTTCAGTTTTGTGAATATTGAGTTTGTGTTTCTAGGGGAAAGTGTCGTATATATATATATATATATTGAAGAAATTAGCATGTAAGTGAAATTGCTGTATTAGTGGCTGCAGCGAACTTTACTAATACTCACTGTTCTAACTTCCAAAACCAATATGATTAATAAATAAAATACTTTTGTTATCATTAAGAGGACTGGGTTTTTACAATTTTCTTTTTAACAAATAATCCAACTGCCAGCAAGAGAAACTGTCGCAACAATGGTGTCAGTAGTGGAACTATTTTGCAAAAATCAAATCAAAAGTCAGCTTCAAAATGACCATACATACTTGAAATGAAATAAAAAACATTTTTGAAATGGTGAGGCAATGTAAAGTGACCAAAAAAAAAAGAAAGTTAAAAGAAGACCGAGAAGAAAAAGAAATGAAGTTAAGAGAGGAATTACAGAACAAGACATGAGAGTTACAGAATATTTACAAAGAAAATCAATTTAACAGAAGACAAGACCGAAAATGCCATAGAAAGGATTATAACAACAAAACTGAAGTACAAAAGGACACCAACAAATAAAAATGGAAGTAGAAAACGATATCTATGATGTATAAAATTACATCAACACAACAGCAAAACACTTAGAAGCTGAACTGGCAACTGGAAGAATAACATCATCTACACCTCTCCCTGACTTTACTCGAGAATTTCAAATCTCAAACATATTTAATAATGATGTATGAAATAGGAAAACTCGTATGGTCTATGCTATTGTTGTGTCATCTGTAACTGCTGTAACTATCTGAACTACTCCAGTCACACCACTATCTCATCAAGTTGCGGAATTCAGATGGCTAGCTCAACAACGTTTCTCAATCAGGAACCAACAGATTATGAAGGAAAGGTACCACTGGAGGCATATGAAACATATTTTGCAATTATTTCCAAAGTATATCGATAAAGTTGTAATCAACAAACTACTTATATTTCTGTACCAACTTTAACAATATTAAGCAATATTCTTACAAAGAGGTGTAACGAATATTAGGCATTGGTAGCCACCTTATCAAATATATTTTAAGTGTCAAAACTTACGGAAGTTTCTAAAGCAAAGTAAGGAGGAAAGACTAGGCCTTAGCAAAAGTTGCTGAAGATGAAGAAAGACTTGTCACAATTATTTTATACAGATGGTTGACATGAAATGATGGATTTATTGACACATTTATTGGTATAGTAGATAAGGATACACGAAATAAAGTATATGCACATCTTTAAATGATGCTGCAGGCAAGTTGTTTCAATTGAAACTTAAAATAGTATATTTTCAGAGCTGCAGACAAAATCCTGAAAGAAATACCAATTATTTACAAAGAATGACTAGAAAAGGGAACTGCTATAAGTGTAGAAAACATGAGCATTATATCCAATAATGTGATGGATCAACCATTGATAATAAGCCTAGGAGACAATATCCTGAGAATGAGATTACCCCATCTGGCCAAATTGAAATGAGAAATGCATTATTTAAAGAAATAACTCATTGTACTGATTCATTAATGATATGTCTTGTAACATTGATCAACATTGGTTCTTCAACTACAACTGTTCGACCTTATCTGGTAATGAAAGCTGGGAAATTGCCTACAGAGGTAGAACCATGAGGATATATTAATGATTAGCAAAGTGGTTATGAAAGTACAACAAGAGGAAAGTTTAAAGTTTCCTCAATGTGGAAAGCTTCTATACATAATACGATGTGTGGGTAATTGACTTCTAGATAAATTACGTATTGTGAATAGACTTCATGCAGAAATACAGATGTGAGGTTAGGGTTGTTCCAAACATTTTCAGAGTCTACGACTAGGAAACCCCTGTGTAGTACAGCAAAAAAAGGAGGATTTTCCAAACATTTTCAGAGTCTATGACTAGGAAACCCCTGTGTAGTACACAACAATTACACCACAAGAGGTTGAACATCCAGTGACAACAAGGATGAAAACACAAAATAATGAATCAACCTAAAGGTCAGCAGAAGTAAATCAATCTACTGAAGAGCCTGAGCTTTCTGTCAAGGTTACTTCCAGAGTATCATCAGGGATGGAGCCACCAGTAGTCAACAAGTGTTCATAAAATGCAAGGGGTCATTCCATGTTCATACCATAAACACAGAAAAGAACCTCATGCATACAATTTGGTAAGTGGACAGTTCAGATACAGTAAATGAGTATAGGAAGAATTTTTTTGTTAATTATATATTTAATAAATAGTTTAATGATATTATATTCTATATTTATAGTTGTTAGTGGTGTTAATTATCAAAAGTTCTGGTAGTGCTAATTATAGAAGTTTAAGTTCAAGGCACCATTGTTTTTGTGGGTAATAGGATTGTTTAAGAGACTTCACAGTACAGGAAGCCCCCCCCCCCAGTGGTACAGAGTTACAACGATAAAAACCGGGTTTCGATACCCGTGGTGGGTAGAGCACAGATAGCCCATTGTGTAGTTTTGTGCTTTACTTCAAAAGAAACAAACAAACAGTACAGGGATGGGACTGTGTTGTAGGCTATATTTTTAATTTAGATGTTTTCCTTGTTTCACCAGAGAAGTGTGACGTAACTTGATAAGAACATCCTTTAATGACTAGAACATTATTTAAAAGTTTATGAAACGTGTTTGTTTGTTGTTAAATATTAAGCTACAACCACCGCGGATATCAAAACCCGATTTTTAGCGTTATAAGCCCTCAGACCAACAGCTGAGCCACCAGAGAGCGTTCAGGAAACGATTTCGGTTATATTATAGGATGATTCTTTAATAAGTTAGAGGGTTTGTTCGTCAGTTTGTTACTGTCAATCATTTAATTCAGTTTTGTGAATAATAAGTTTATTTCAGTGAAAAATATAGATAAAAGAGACTGCCGTACGTACGAGAAGTTAGCAAGGCCTATCAATAAACATCAGTAAAGCTAATTTTTAGAACTTGAAGTTTAGTAAATAAAATGCTTTCATCTATTGCCATTAAGGGGACAATGAACTTTGCACGCTTTTTGTTACTGAATAATATAAAATCAACCGTTTCAACAATAACGTAAATTTATGTTATGATGCCTAATTAACAGACAACACTGTTATTTGAAAAATCAGTCTATGTGCTACTTAAAAATTCATATTTTATGTTAGGCAAACAGTTACAAGTACTATTGTCAACGCTTCAATATATTTGTAGTCGAAAATATAAATTTCTGTTTTAGAAACCCACTTCTCTGAGTTGTTTGCATTGACTGTAGTGCTATCTTAGTAAGGCCAGCTTCTGTACTTTGCTTTTTCAGAGCATCAATTGTGTTCCGTAATTCTCCGAGTTCCGAATCCTATTAAACAAAAAATATTATACATACGTATATAGTAGTAACACACTACAATTAAAGGTGAATTTTTAGAAGCTACACTTAATACTATATTGGGTCATCTTTTATTATGACAATAGTCTGGAATTTGCATGAAATTGACTCCACAAAACACCAGAATGTTTTTTTCTTCACTGTAGCCCAATTGTCGAGGAGTGTGGCCAGGTGGTTATGGCGCTCGACTCGCAATCTGAGGGTCGCGGGTTCGAATCCCCGTCCCGCCAAACATGCTCGCCCTTTCAGCCGTGGGGGCGTTATAATGTGACGGTCAATCCCGCTATTCGTTCTTAAAAGAGAAGCCCAAGAGTTGGCGGTGGGTGGTGATGACTAGCTGCCCTCCCTCTAGTCTTACACTGCTAAATTAGGGACGGCTAGCGCAGATAGCCCTCGTGTAGCTTTGCGCGAAATTCTAAAAACAAACAAACAAACAAACTAGTTCACAGATGTTGGTACGTAATAACAATTGTGATTATAATGTTCACCTCAAGGATGAAAAATCCAACCGAGATACAGTAACAGTATGAACATAATGATACACTTCATTATCATCTGGGAAAAACTCTTGTCAAACCGGGAGTAAAATGCAGTACTGTAAGGTAAACATAAAATAGAATGTTCAAGTATGTCCTCCTGGAGGTTATTTTTTCTTCCAAAGGAATCACAAGATCTCTCTTCTACCACAAGAAATTTGTAACACCATTACATCACCTGCAGAAACTTTCGCAGTCGGAACAACACAGAAAATTTTAAGTACCTTATGTGATTTTCTCTATATTTTTACATCACCATCAATATTGACACGGGTGAAACATAACCTAATAGGTTACATCCCGTGCTCTAGTCATCAAATGTCAGTAGCTTGCACTCTAAACACCACTAAAGCCATGCTTTCTTGTTACATCTAAGTTGTTTGGGACTGGTTAGCTGTTGTCATGCGAAACTTTATAATTTTTTTTTTCACGTGGATGATTAGATCTAGTCAAATCCTAATTATTGTTGACGTTGAAGAAAGTGGTCAAACAGCACATAAATATGATGCCTGTCACACTTCAAAAGCATGTCCAGTTATTTTTTCTATCAAACAACCATCACATTTCATCTATTGAAAGACGTATTTCATACACTTGTCATACGACATTAGTATTAGGTCTGTTATATTTCTAACACAATATTTTTTTTTCAGTCTTTTACGGGTTTTCAAAAAAAAGATTGTATAATAGTATTTCGACCACACTAATTCCGCCATATCGAGTGCTGACGACACGTTTCTCTCATTACTCTTATACACCGTTCTTCTTCCTGAACAATCCTAATGGACTAAATAAAGAATGTAGTATTAAAAATATAATAGATCTAATAGTAATGTCTTATGGCAATTACGTTAAATATAATCATGCTTCGACAGCTTAGAAAAGGCATTCACAGCATAACAATTGTTAACAAACATTTTTTTTAACTGCCACATTTAATGGACTATGAAGACAGATGGCTGTGGAAATCAAAGAAACAGTCGTTGATAACAATGCCCTTTCTAGAGAAGCGCCCACAAACATGCTCCCTTTCGAAGTTGGAAAGATCATTTCTATTATCCACTGTCCTTCAGAATAAATACGATGTGATTACATCACTGCATTTATATGTGCTCATGCAATGGCCTGACACATACGTAAATAAAAAGGGGTGTTCTACAAATATGTTGTGTGAATTCTAAAACGTGTTTTTTGTTTGTTTTGAATTTCGCGCAAAGCTACACGAGGGTTATCTGCGCTAGCGTCCCTAATTTTAGCAGTGTAAGACTAGAGATGACAG